TGTGTGTGTGTGTGTGTGTGTGTGTGTGTGTGTGTGTGTGTGTGTGTGTGTGTAGGAATGTGTGTCTCAGAGTATATATGGGGGGCAGAGGGCAACTTCTCAGGAGTTAGTCACCTCCTTCCACACATCACTTCTGGGTACTGAACTCCGGTCTTCAGGATTGGTGGCCAGTGCCTCTATTTGCTAACCATTTCACTAGCCCTACCTGGAAATGTTAAGTGATCGTATATTATGTATATTTTAAAAAATCTGCCCTTGAATAGTTCGTGTTCTCTAACTATATTGTAAATGGTATTTTTAAGTTACAATTGACATTAATTTCTGAAAGCAGCTCATGGCTTACATGGGAAAAAAAAAATTGAAAATTGTCCCTGTATCTTCGGACTTGCTGTATTTACTTGGTACTTGAAATGTTTTCTGTCCTTGGGGCATTCCAGATGATTTGTCATGCACAGAATCATATTATTCCTTTTTAAAATTAAATATTTTAGTAAAGCAAGCAATGGGGCTCACTATGGTGTTTGCATACATCGGCACCGTTATACTTTGTTCTCCTTTACCCCAAGCTCTTCCTTTGTTACCCATCTCCATCTGCATTAATACGCTCACTAGGATTTCCACTACTCACGAGCGTGGTGTGCAGAACATGAGGGTCAGCACTTATTTCCATTTCTTTCTCCCGTGGTTTTCTGCAGTCCCGCAGGTGGAAAACTAAATACCAAAATTTCCGGACATTCTTGTCCCCAGAGTTCTACATCTGATGGATGACCATTGGTGAGCTCCAGCTCCACCCATTTAGGACGCGGCCACGCTCTTCCTCCTCCTTATAGTTCTCTACTGAGGGCAGGTGTAGTTGGTTGCGGGCACATGGTAGTCTCTGCAACGCAGAGTTCTTAGTTTCGGGCATGCTAAGAGGCTCTGTAGCGGCAGCAGAAGCAGGCTCGAACTTCCTGTATTGCAGCTACAGCACCTGCTTGACTTTGTTTTTAACTTGAAGAGTTCTAAGGGTAGATTCTCAGTTCCCTACCTTCCTAATTATGGCAGAGGAGATGACTCCCTAGAGAGAGAAGTGTCATATGAGTCTTGATCTTGGCTTATCATGATTCTGGCATTTCTGGTGACTTTTGTAATGACCAAATTCCTTTCTATTTATTTATTTATTTATTTATTTATTTATTTATTTATTTATTTTTACTTTTTATTTTTAAGGCATGGTTTCACCATGTAGCCCTGGCTAGCCTGTAACTCTCTATGTAGACCAGGCTGACCTTGAATTCACAGAAATCCCTCTGCGTCTGCCTCCAGCGTGCTGGTACTAAAGGTGTGTGCCACCATGCCTGGCTAATTCTTGTTATTGAATCTGTTTTAAATAGTTCGGTCTCGATTTCCAGTATCGAACTCTGACTAATACATGTGGTCAGGACAGTTATTCTGCAAAAGTCTAGGTAGCCAGTTATTAGCAGAGATAAAGACAAATGGTCAATAGTTTAAAAAAAAAAAAAAAAAAGAATTGAACTGATAGGGAGACAGGTTGACCAGGGTCTCAAAGGGAAGCCAAAGCACTTCCTCTGCTCCCATGGTACCAGAGTCCCTGGTTCACAACAGGCTTTGTGTTGAGGTGGGAAATGTCATCCTGGGGCCCTTAGGGTTCCCATGCCTCCTATGTCTCAGAGCACACTTAGCCTTGAAGAACAGAATGATCTCTACTGTGCTCTGTGACCAAGAAAGACGGTACCTTCACTCAGGACGAAGCTACCTTAGCTTAGCGAGGACGATTAGAGGGAGCCAGGGGCTTGGAAGTGTGGCAGTTCACAATCTGAGACAATTATTTGAAGATAAGTAAAATATGAAGTTGCTTTATCATTGATATCTATATATTTATGTACATATATTCAATAGCCCATGATGTCAAATAGTTAAGAACTTTAAATGTCTTTTCCTATGGAGAACCCTAAATAGCCAGTTATGTAACGCTTTGTAGACACCTCACCAGCAACAATATTCCAGCTCCTGCTTCCACTTGAGTTCTTCAAGTGACAAGGGATTTATTATTTCACCAACTCAGTCCATTCCTCCAAGTCATCAGGACATATTTTTATGTCCACCATAAAATACTTCTCCGTGATTTTTCTGCTTGAGAGTAAGCGCTCAGTCTCTTGCTACTCATTTCAAAGCCTGTCTGGCCTCTCACACAATACCTCAGCTCTCCCTTAGGGAGCCACATCTCTTCTATCACATGGGGTTTTCTTTGGATAAGACCTGTGGGGGTGCCTCCCGCTGGGAACCCTCATGAAACCAGGCACGTGACCTAGGCTTGGCCAGCTCTTCAGTGCGTTGGTCATTATTCTGTTACTGCTGTGACCATGCAGCTCATGGGAGGAGCAGTTTATTTTGGATTACGGTTTTAGGGGCACAGTCCATTATGGCAAGGAAGGCGTGGTGATGTTTAAGCCAGCAGGAGTGGGTGGCTGGCACTGCTCACATCTCAATGGAGCGGGACTCGGAAAAAAGGGCAATACTGTTGCTCAGCTTTCTTCCTTTTGTTTGTTTTAATTAATTTAATTTTTTTTAATCAGTCAGGACTCTATCCTATGCGAGGGCATGTCCCTTGTTCAGGATGTGTCCTTCTCCCCGTGGTTAATCCTCTTTCAAAACAAGAATGCGAACGTTAGCCAAAGCTGTGTCTCATTAAAGTCCTACTCATTTCTCAAACTGATCGAGTTAACAATGACTGCATTCAAACCGAGATTAGATGGCTGTGTCTGAAATAAACAGTAACCAAGGTAACACACACGTTGATTTGGAGGCAGAAAGTACAGCAACTGTCTCATAACCAGAATGTGCAGGACCTCGGTGTTGAGGGACCTCCAATTAATACCGTTTTCTCAAGATTGAGTTTCAAGATTAAAAATATCAAGAAAGGTAGGTGATGAATCTCCCTGGTTAGAATGGGAAGAACTCACTTGAGCTGAACGAAAGAATGCCAACAAGACTTAAAGCTGAGGAAGCCACAACGCCAAGGGACTCTTCAAGCCGGAGGTTCGAGTCATTCTGTTCTCCTTTTCTAGTTAGTGAGACATCTCGTTCTTATATCATTGCAATAATGTAATACCAGTTTTATTCTTTGCAATTTATGTTGCTCTTTTCCTTTTGAAATCCTACGTTTCTGACAGTTATGAATCTTTTCTCCTGTGTCAAATGTTAAGACAGAGGACAGGAGAGGGGAGAAGAGGGGAGGGGGAGGGAGGGGAGGGGAGGGGAGAGGGAGGGAGGAGAGGGGAGGAGAGGGAAGAGGGTGGGAGGAGAGGGGAGGGGAGTGGAGAGGAAGGGAGGAGAGGGGAGGAGAGGAGAGGAGGACAGAGGGAAGGAGGGGAGAGAAAAATGTAGTCAAGGATGAGTTCTAGGACAACCAGGCTACACAGAGAAAACCTATTGAAAAACAGAGAGAGAGAGAGAGAGAGAGAGAGAGAGTGAGAACTGCCCCTTGCTGTTATTTAACATTGAGAGATAGACAAGATAAGAAATAACTTTTAATGAGGGCGACACCTAGCTGGTGGTAAGAGGGAGGCAGACCAGGAGAGTGTGATATGTTGAAAGCTGCCTACTCAAAGGAAGGAGGGGGATGGGGAGGAGAGGGGAGGGGAGGGGAGCAGAGGGGAGGAGAGGGGAGGAGAGAAAACAATATAGGTGAATTCCATCCTTCCTCACTCCCCCCAGGGGTCCTGGAGCCGGTCCTCTGGACCACAGAGATTTAAAGCATTTATATTCAAATATATATGGACAGGATCTCACTCGACAGCTTGGTCTAGCCTGGAACTCACGGGGGATCCACCTGCCTCTGCTTCTGGAGTGCTGGGATTAAAGGTGTGAACCGTCTTGCCTGGTACATGTTCTATGAAGCACATTCCGAATTCTAATTCTATCCCCGATGCAGACACTTCTCTTTTCCTCCTCCACCTTTCTCGCCCTGGCCTAAGCAGCTCTCAACCCTTGCCGGGATTGTTGCCATAACTCTTCCGGTGTGTCTGCATGCGTCCGCCATGCCTACTTTCCACAGCACACTCTCAGTGGAACTGCCATGGCAATGTCTTGAAAACATGTTTTGACACGTGGCTGTTCCCCTCGCTACCTATAACCTTCACCGTGGCTCCCAACCTTCTGGGATACCAGTCAACGTCTCTGCAGTCACCAGAAGACGGTTCTTACTCTGTGAATATAGAGAACACCCAACTAATTTTTATTGGGTGAGTTAGAACCTTCTGATTATTTCCTAATTAATACGCTAACCTTACAGATGCTTTTCTGAGGATATAGCTTGCAGATTTCTACTCTGGCCAGCTTCCACACACACCTTTTACTTTCAGTGTTTTTTGTTTGTTTGTTTGTTTGTTTGTTTGTTTTTTTCCAAGACAGGGTTTCTCTGTGCAGTTTTGGTGCCTGTCCTGGATCTTGCTCTGTAGTCCAGGCTGGCCTTGAACTCATAGAGATCCGCCTGGCTCTGCCTTCCAAGTGCTGGGATTAAAGGTGCGCTGCCACCACCCGGTTTTTTAAAGATTATTTATTTATTATGTACAGTGTTCTGCCTGCATGTACACCTGCAGGCCAGAAGAGAGCACCAGATCTCATTACAGATGGTTGTAAGCCACCATGTAGTTGCTGGGAATTGAACTCAGGACCTCTGGAAGAACAGCCAGTGTTCTTAACCTCTGAGCCATCTCTCCAGCCCCTTTCAGTGTTCTTAAAATGGCACCAAAACCCAAGCAATGTGATGCTTCCCCCCTAAAGCCTCTGAGCCCCCAGCTTAGGCTCAATTTGCTTTGTGGCCACATTTCACATCATTGAATCATATTTCCAGTAAATGAAAATATCCACATCTTCACCCTGGGCAGGGAACCCGAGAGACCTGTTTGTCCTCACTTTCTCAGTGCTAAGAGGACAGACATGCCACCATGTCCCCCACAACTTTTCTTAAAAATTGGATTCTGAGCAAACGTCATGCCTAGAAGTAAAGCTTTTTACACTGAGCTATCACTCTAGTCCTGTGTTCTTTTCCTTTAGAGTAAATCTTCACAGTGATGAGGACTGCTGTGTAAGTGGTATACCTGGATTTGAGTCTCAATAACTAGTTAAGTGGCATTAGACAATTAATATAACCCGGTAGGCTTTATTTTCTCAACCTAAACATTGATAGAACTTATTGACATATTAAGATGAATCTCAGCTCTTAGAATTGAAAAGAGATCGCCTTGAGTCACACAAGAATATTATGCACCTTATTTACACATCCATCTTCTTCGGGATATACTTCTGCTGGCTTTTAAAATGGGTAAGATGCTGTTGGTTGTTTTTGCTCTTTGGGAGGCCCACCACCAAGCTCCCCAATAATTCACACAAGGAGGCTTATTATTACTTATGAATGCCTGGCCTTGGCTTGTTTCTTGCCAGCTTTTCTTAACTTTAAATTATCTCATCATCATTTTTTCCTCTGGGCTTTTTCCTTTTCTTACTTCTGTATATCTTACTTTCACTCTTACTCCGTGGCTGGCTGTGTGGCTGTGTGGCTGTGTGGCTGGCCCCTAGCATCCTCCTCTCCTATTCTCTTGCTCTTTCTTCTTTTCCCCCAAGATTTCTCCTTCTATTAATTCTTTCTGTCTGCCAGCCCCGCCTATCCTTTCTTCTGCCTCACTATTTGCCGTTCAGCTCTTTATTAGACCAATCAGATGTTTTAGGCAGGCACAGTAACACAGCTTCACAGAGTTAAACAAATGCAACATAAAAGAATGCAACATATCTTTGCATCATTAAACAAATATCCCACAGTATAAACAAATGTAATGCTTCTTAAAATAATATTCTACAACAGTGAGATGTTTGTGTTGCTTTTCCAATAGGAGCAGAGGTTCCATCCCTGGAAGAGCGTGTAGTTCTAAAGGAGTCCTAAAACAGCCCACTGATACAAACAAGGTTTAGCTCAAACAATTCAAGCAACCATGGGCTAAAACTAGAAAGAATCTTTCACTTACCAAATATTAATTTTTGTAGCTCAGCTCTCTACCCCAAATTTGAGTTAAAGACTTTAATAATAATCACAAATCTCTCTAAAATGAACATAACTAACCTTTTCTTTTGAAATTTAAAACATGCAGACAGTAGTAATCATTTAGGAAAAAAATGTATCATTTGGATTTTTATGCAAAAAGAATCAAAATGTCATAAAGAGACATTAAGTGGTGACTGATAGAAAAGAATGGCAGGTTGGGACATCAGTTCAAGTTCATTTTGTGCAGCTTATTTTTAGTGAAAACATGATTAAATATATGAGATGATTAAAGTAGATGTTAGTCAGAACCCTACTATTTTAAGTCAATGATTAAATGTTTTTAAACTTTTCTTTCTTTATGATATTAGTAGTGTATGTGTGGGTGTGGGTGTGTTATGGCAATTTTATGGAATTGGTTCTCCCCTACTTTTTTACATGGGTTTGGGGGGTCAAACTCGGGGTGTCAGGATTGCATAGTGAGCTAGAGTCATTTGGGAAGAGGGAACCTCAGTCGAGGAAATGCCCCTACCAGACTGGCATGCAGGCAAATCTGTGTGTGTGGGGGGGGCATTTTCTTAATCAGTGATTGATGTGGGAGGACCCCCAACCCTTTGTGGGTGAGGCCATCTCTGGACAAGTGGCCCTAGAGTTTATAAGAAAGCAGGCTGAGCAAGCCAGTAAGCAGCACCCCTGCATGGCCTCTGCCTCAGTTCCTGCCTCCAGGTCCCTGCCTTGAGTTCCTGCCCTGACTTCAATTTATGATGGGCTGTCATAGAAGTGCGAGCTAAACAAACCTTTTCCTCCCCCAGCTGCTCTTGTTCTTGGTGTTTTATCAAGCAACAGGAACCTAACTAGGATCCACAGCAAGTGCCTTTATCTGCTGAGCTATTTTTCTGCCCTCTAAATGCTTCTCATTGCTTCTTAATTAACAGACGGACGATTGAGTTATTTAATGTTGTGGGAGTCATTGCACTTGAACTTTGGTGGAGAGTCCAGTATCCATAGGATGAGTACTTGGCTGAAGAGAAATTTCCGAATTTTGAGTTAGTAGCTTTCTACACAGCATTCTCCTGGTCTCCCTCCATCTCACCACCAGCTAGGTGTCGCCCTCATTAAAGTTCTCTCCTGTCTGTCTCTCAATGTTAAATTGCAGCAAGGATCCGTTCTCAGTTCTCTTCTCCCTCTCTCTTTTTCCTTTTGGCTTTTCAATAGAGGTTTTCTCTGTGTCGCCCTGGTTGTCCTAGAACTCTCTCTCTCTGTAGACCAGGCTGTCTCTGATACCTGAGTTCTGAGATTAAAGGTGTGTGCCACCACCTCCTGGCCTTTCTCTCTTTTCTAATCTTATAATTTCCACAACTTTAAAACTGTGCTCTGTGATGCTGACATTCATGTCCAGTTCCTTCCCTTCCCCCCTCCCAGCTCTGCACTCAGTAAACAGCTGCTTCTAGAGTCCCCTTATTTGGTAATCACAAACATCCCAAATCCAAACGCATCTCTTGACTCCTCGGGAGGTCACTGTAATAGGCTGCGACACCTAAGTAAATAGTGTCTCTTTTTCTCTGGATACTCAGCCGAAAACTATGCAGTCATTGCTGATTCCTTCTGAAGATATCCTTGCTGGGGGATCCATGACTCATCTGAAAGCAGACTCTGCTTTACACCATCTCAAAAACTGGAGGTGGGGGAAGAAGAGAAGGTGTGCCAATGGGTACAAAGTTACAGTTGAATAGGAAGGAGCAGTGAGTTCTGATGGGCTCCTACACAGCAGGGTCAGGGAAGTTCAGATAGCGAGTACTGCATACTTCAAACCGCTGTAAGAAAGGCTTTTTAATGTTTTCACTATTAAGAAATGACAAATGTTTAAGGAGACAGATACTGATAACTTGATTTAATGATTACACTATGTATACATGTATTGAAACATCAAATGGTATCCCATAAATACGGGAACTTTTAATGATTTTATGGATCAAACAAACAAATAAACCAATTGAAACTAAAGCCAGGCATGGGGGTACAAATGTGTGGTTCCACCACTTCCAAGGCAAAGGTAGAAGGACTGAGTTTGAAATCAGCTTGGATACTATGTAGCTAGATGCAGTCTCAAGATAAATTTTCAAAAAGTAAAGTGATGTGGATAAAAACATATCCAGACTCCAGATGCCTCTTACTCCATCCCACTACCATAACACTCTAAAGCATGGGTGGTGGTGGTGCACGCCTTTAATCCCAGCACTTGGGGGGGCAGAGGCAGGCAGATCTCTGAGTTCGAGGCCAGCCTGGTCTACAGAGCGAGATCCAGGAAAGGTGCAAAGCTACACAGAGAAACCATGTCTCAAAAAAAAAAAAACACCAAAAAACAAACAAACAAACAACAACAACAAAATACTCAAAAGCAAAACCCTTTTCAGAATCTGTGTGTGGTAGTTTGAATAGGAATGGCCCCCAAAGACTCAAGTATTGAATTCCATAGGGGGTGGGCACTATTAGTAGGTTGTGGGAGTAGGTGTGGCCTTGTTGAAGTAGATGTGGCCTTGTTAGAGGAAGTTTGTCACAAACGTCCTTGTTAGATGAAGTTTGCTGTGGGATATCTTTCTGTATGCTGGTGAATATGTGTTACTATGGTTGGTTAATAAAGAAGCTGCTCTGGCCTATGGCGAGTCAGGTTATAGCCAGGCAGGAAATCCAAGAGAGAGACAGAAAAAAGAAAGGAGAAGTAGAAGAGATACTAGCCGCCACCAAAGGAGAAGCAAGATGCCAGCAGACTGGTAAAGAAAGCCACAGAACATGGGACAAAACACAGATGAATAGAAATGGGTTAATTTAAGATATAAGAGCTAGCTAGCAAGAGGCCTGTCATAGACCATACAGTTTGCAATTAATATTAAGCCTCTGAATTATTATTTTGTAAGTGGCTGAGGGACTGTGGGGCTGGGCAGGACCTGAGGAACTCGGGCTGGAAGTGGTGGGTGAGACTGGAGAAACCTTCCAGCTACAGTGGAGGTTGGCTTTGAGGTCTTATATGCTCAAGCTACACCCAGAGTGGGACAGTTCACTTCTTCTTGCCTGCAGATCAAGATGTAAGAACTCTCAGCTCCTTCTCCTGCACCATGTCTCCCAGCATGGAGCCATGCTTTTTGCCATGTTGATAATGGGTGAAACCTCTGAAACTGTAAGCCAGACCCAGCTAATGTTTTCCTTTATAAGAGTTGCTGTGGCCATGTGCTGTGGGATAATCTTTTTGTACACTGTAAAGATGCGTCTCTGCCTAAGGTGCCTTTTGATTGGTTTAATAAAGAGCTAAATGGCCAGTAGCTAGGCAGGAGAGAATAGGTTGGACTTCCGGGGATGGGGGAGAGAGGAACTCAGGGTTAGAATCTAGATTCGCCAGCGAGACACTGAGGAGTTGGAAGGACAGAATGGACAGGTAAAAAGCCACATGGCAGAATGTAGATTAATAGAAACAGGTTAAGTTATAAGAGCTAGTTGGGAAACAAGCCTAAGTTAAAGGCCAAGCTTTCATGATTCTTAATAAGTCTCCATGTCATTATTGGGGAGCTGGCAGTCCCAAAGAAAGTCTGACAAGAAAGTCCTACTACAGGCATGGTGTCTCTTCACAGCAAGAAAACTCCAATGTCATTTTGTAACAGGTAGTACCCTCTGTAAGTGTTGAATGATCAACACAGCTGTGTTGTTATCTGCTGAACAAGCAATAAGTTAGAATCAGGAAGGATGAAACTTTCCAAAAGACACAGAGAGCTGAGGGCAGAGACAGGGCAAGTTATATATTTATATATAAAACCCCACAACCCTAAGTAAGAAGTTTAGAAGGTGCTTCAAATGCTTTGCATCTGGCAGGCAGCTTGGTAGTTAAATCACTGTACTTCCACACCACATTTTATAGATGAAGGAACCCAAAGCAAACGATCCAGGAACTCACTCTGGGAAATCTGAGTGAGACTGTGGTGGGCTGAAGTGAACAGGCAGCTTAGGGTCTGAGAACCCAAGAGCGGTTTTGAATTGTGGTCCTCATTTGCTTCTCAGAGGACAAATCACAGAAACTTCCTAAGTCTTAGTTTTCCCATCTATAAAACTATGGTATTCATTTTTTCCCTCAGAGTGGGTATAAAGATGAAATGGCCTAATAAAGGATTTTTCTAGGCTATGGGCAACATAAAATATTACTGCAGTGAGTGGTAGAAATGGAAATAGGATCCGAATCTGACACTGAGACCCTCATCCATCCTTCTTCAATGTGAAATGTTCTCTGTCCCTTTTTGCATATGATTGAGGCAATTTACTCGCCCGCCTAGTTACAGTGGGATATAAATATCAACCGTGGCATATGTGTGCTGTTTACTTGAATCCCATGACGGCTCCTCACCTGTTTGAGTTATATATAGAGAAGTAAGACAGATGCTCTCACGACAAAACTTTCTTGGCAAATTCTCGCACGCACATAGGATAAGAATTTGGTCTAACATTTCTTAATACCATGTTGTAGTTCTAGTATGTTGATTCTGGCTTCTTCCTTAGAAGTGTTAGCATTCAAACAGAAGTTGAGCAATTAAAAGGAGAAATACCAGGAACTTTGTAGACTGAAAACTAGCAAACACATCCTTGAGGCACTTCACGAAGAGTTCCAGTGATAACATCGATACAATGTTGTGTTGCTTTTTTGATCCTCTGGAGAGTGGGTGATCATGCTTTTATATTTCCCTGTTCTCTCTCTAGCTGCTGCATGTAGCAACAGGACGAGGAGACGAGGCAGTTGCCAAAAGCTTTTGTCTTCCTCCTCCTCGCCCCCTTACAGATCCCTTCCTCTGCAGTGTGGACTGGAAGAGTGGGGATGCCTTGCCCCAGGCGCTCACTTTACCTGTAAAGATCCTGGGGGACCCTTGAAATGGTGGGCAGAGCTCTTCTAACCAGGCTGTACCTCTCAGCTGCCAGCAGAGCCTCGTGATACTTGTTCCTCTCAACATCTGCTCAAGGGACCTTAGCAATTAGGAATAAGCCTAGTTCCCAGCCCCGCCCCCCCCCCGCCCCCCCCCCCCCCCCCCCCCCCCCCCCCCCCGTATGTGTTGGTCAACCCCATGCCCTGTATACATTCCCTCCACCCTTACTAGTACAACCTCACCATCACAAAGCTTTGCTCTGTGAGATTAGCTAAGGTCCTTCGGGCACTCTCCACCTCGATGGCTTATCATCTCTAATCTTCTTGAGTCATCTTCTGTCTCGACATTGCCGGGGACCACTTAAGCACCCCTCCCTATTCAAACCTATCTCTGCCGCCCCAGCCCCCCCTCATTTGCCCCTAACCACCCCCCTCCCGACCTTGCTAGTTTTTCCTTGGCACCAACGACTTTTGCCCAGCCAATGTGCCTTCCAGCTCATCCCTCTTCTTGCCACTCTGGGCACACTTTCGGGACTCGGGAATAGTAGACGGAGACGTTGCCGATGTTGTTGTCTTCAATTAATCTCTCTCACCGGGTCTCAGATCAGCTTGCTCCCCTTTCAGGAGAAACTCGATTCTTTGGCTGTTTTGGTTCTTGAATTAATGGGGTGGATCTAGCTCTCCTGGATTCAGCTAACAGAGGGATGTATGCCCTCCTCCAGGAATGATGCTGTTTCAAGAAGGGGCTTGAAAACTCAGGGAACCTGGTTCAAAAAAATTCAATACCAGGGGTTGGGGATTTAGCCCTAGGTTCGGTCCTCAGCTCCAAAAAAAAAAAAAAAAAAAAATCCAATACCGGATTTCCTCTGCCTCCGGACAGGCTCTTGGTCCCTCCCATCCTGGCTCCTCCCCTAGCCACTTCTTTCCTCCTTGCCATCCTCATACTTAGTTTACCCTGTCTGCTCAACGTTTGACATAAATTCCTCTTGGATAGAATCACTGCCGTCCCTTGGTCTACCCCACAGGATGGTGTAAAAGCAATACTTAGAGTTACTCCAGGCTCCCAAACTTCCAAATGATGTATTTTCTTCCAGCCAGCCAGAAAACAATCCCCCCCACCCCACCCCACCCCACCAATGTCTGTAATAAAAATCCCCACCAGAACCAGGGCCATAAAACAAGCCCCAAGGCATCAAGAAACTTGCTGCCCATGGAATTCTGGGAAGCAGCCAAAACCCATCACATACCCTGGAGGCTAGAGGTGAGCTTACTCTGCAATAATTTGCTCTCCAGGTAATTATTCCAGCCCTGTTGAAAGTGGGCACTCGCTCTCAGGAGAAGGTATGAATATATTCATGGGAGCTCTGCTCTACCAACACTGAACTACCCACACTAAGATACTGAGGAATTAAACACATAAACTGGTGGGAGCAGATCATTTTCAAACCATAGCAGTTCGTTATAAAAAACCCAAGCTTCAGTTTGTTAGATAAAAGCTCTAGGTGCTGGGACAGTAGCAGGCTAATGTCTTCCTTTCTCTCCTTTCATTAACACATTCATACATTTTTGTAATCCTCAAAAATTCCAATATATAATCACCACGCGATTTTTTTTATTTCATTCCAAAGTACATCCTCAAAATATTTGAAAATGGATACTTAAAAAAAAATCAATGTTTATGATAACATTATGAATAGTAAGCAGATATAGAAACATCCCAAATGCTGGTCAATGGATGAGTAAATAAAATGTGGCATGCTCATGTAATGAAATATTATCATATAAAGAGACGTTACAACATGAATAAATCTCAAAAACATTATGCTGAATGAAGGGAGTCGGGTAAATGGTCACATAACTTTTCATTCTACTCACATGGAATATTCAGAAGAGTCATATCCACAGAGGCCAGAAACTGATAATGGTTGTCTGGAGGTAGGGGAAGAAGGAAATGGGGAGTGAGTTTTTCATGAGTTCAGGGTCTCCTTTGGGAGTGATGAAAATATTTTGGGGACTAGATAGAGTTGATAGTTGGGCAGTACTGTTGTTGCTCTTTTGGGGGCCCCCATCACCCAGTTCCCAAATAAATCACATGGAGGCTTATTCTTAATTATAAGTGCCTGGCCTTAGCTTGGCTTGCTTCTAACCAGCTTTCCTTAAATTATCCCAGCTACCTTTTTCCTCTGCGCTTTTTCCCTTTCTTACTTCTGTATATCTTACTTTCATTCTTAGTCTGTGGCTGGCTGGGTGGCTGACCCCTAGCATCCTCCTCCCCTTGTTCTTTTACCCCTTCTATTTTCTCCTTCTATCTATTCTCTCTGCCTGCCAGCCCCACCTGTCCTTTCTCCTGCCCCCCTAATGGCTGTTCAGCTCTTTATTAGACCATCAGGTGTTTTAGACAGGCACAGTAACACAGCTTCACAGAGTTAAACAGATGCAACATAAAAGGAAAGCAACACAGCTTTGCATCATTAAAGCCAGTGTTCCACAGCATAAACAAATGTAACACATCTTAAAATAATATTCTACAACACAGTACTGTGAGTGTCTTACGTGCCATTTGTATACTTTAAAATGGCCAATTTTATGTTTGTGAATTTCATTTCAGTAAGAAAAAATGAACCAAAATCAAAACTAAGCTTATTGATCTGGAAAAAACAGAACTACGTTTAGTACTAGCACCAGAAAGGATATTCTTCTAGGAAATAAACCATAAGTGGTATCTTTGATTATATTATTAGGTTCCAAAAATTCTATTCAAAGTTGTTCAGTGAAAGCTGATGCCAAGATTGCACAGGATAGCAGATCATAAATGCCGCCCTCAGTCAAATTGCTGGAAGCCATGAGCCAGTTAAGTTTAAGCTCTTTTCCCTGTCAAGTATCTGGCTGCAGTTAAGATACAGCTCCATGCTTTAACACTCAGCCAGCCTGGAAGCTGGAGTACGATCCATTTGGCAAATAAGGCACAAGTCACAGATGATCAGTGACAGGGCCGGGGTCAGGAAGGTTCTCCTGAGGAAGTGTCGTGTCTGTTTAAACACCCCAACCAAGGGGAATTACAACCCCATATAGTTCCCTACAGTAAATCACGCCCTCAGCATCCTCCAAGAAAGGATTTTGTTGTTGTCTGTTTTGTAGACCAAATGAGATCCTGTTTATAAAACTTCTTGTAAGCCAGGCGGTGGTGGCGCACGCCTTTAATCCCAGCACTAGGGCAGGCAGAGGCAGGCGGATCTCTGTGAGTTCGAGGTCAGCCTGGGCTACCAAGTGAGTTCTAGGAAAGGTGCAAAAATACATAGAGAAACCCTGTCTCGAAAAACCAAAAACAAACAAACAAAAACAAAAACAAAAACAACCTAAAAGACCCCTTCTTGTAAAACATAATTTGCATATTAGTGTAATTGCTGTGTTTTATTTATTTATTTACTTTTTTTTTTTTTTCAGAGCTGAGGACCGAACCCAGGGCCTTGTGCTTGCTAGGCAAGCGCTCTACCACTGAGCTAAATCCCCAACCCTGGCCATGTTTTAATGTGTGGCAGTAACCAACATGCAAACACCCTACCTGGCTGTCATTTTCATACAGTATGTATTATTCATTGTTCTCATAAACATTTCTTAAATATTAGTTGTTTGCCAAGAAGGGAAGGCAATATGTCAGCATTTTAAAAGAGTAAACTGAGATTCTGAGAACCTAAGATTTGCACTTGAGTGTGTAACTTGGAGAATGAAGACCTTTAGTTCCTAGTTCATTCAAAACCCCAAAACTGTGGTCACTAACACCTTTGATCCGTATCAATTCACAATGTGATCAATATCTTGGGCGAACTTTGAATAATTCTATTCCTGTCGTACGGCAGTGTTTTGATTGTTGTTATGTGGAATTACCAGGACCCATACTACTAAAAGAGACACACAAGCTGACCAACTTCGCATTGCTAACATGTACTGAGTATACCTTGTGCATTAGGCATGGCACTAAGTATCTCGTGGACATTTAATCCCCGAGACAGTCATCTGTGGAGGATTTTGTATACACAGAAACAGCAACTTACCCAGAGTTAGAGATGGAAATATAAGTTGTCCAGCAGTCCTTGCAAGAGTATATTTAAAAGCTCGGTACAGTTGAGGTAGGATCAATAGACACTGTATTAGTTACTTTACATGGTCCTCAAACAAAATGTCTGGCCATAGGGACTTAAGAGTTTATTTTGCCTTAGAGTTTGTGGCCAAAGGTCATGGCAGACAAGGAATAAAGCCTGAAGTAGCTGATCATGTTGCAACCATGGTCAGAAAGCCGAAAGTTACGGACGTTTTGTGCTCGGTTCCCTTTCTCCCTGTCATCCCGTCTAGTATCCAAGGCCATTGAACGGCCCACTTTGAGTTAAGGTGGGTCTTCTCACATCAATTAACCAAACCTAGATAACCCCTTACAGGCATGTCTAGATGCGTGTCTCCTAGGTGATGTTCAGATCCAGTCAGGTTGACACATTGTTAGCCATCACAGACAACCTGGAATTCAGACCTGAGCCAACAGAGTGGAGAATGAATGAATGTTGAACTAAGATGAAAACAGAAAATAAAACATCCAGTTTTATGCAACACCAAAGCCCCCAGGTGAACTACTTTGCTCTACTGAGGCCCAGTGAGTATGTGATCATTTCATTTCCCACTCCAAAACTTAAGGTAATAAACTTGGGTCATTGTAAGTACTATAAGATAGTGTCAGATAACTCTTGTAAGTGCTTAACAGTCATAAACTCAGGGCCATTTGTGACGTTTAAAGTCTCAGTGATAAAGAAAAAAGGGAAGTGGTCTTTCATAGGAAAGCTTTGTTTTGAAGACAAGGCAAGATTTCCTAGAAATCAAGAATTGAGGTTAATGGTTTTTCTTTTTTTTCCTGATGTGGGATGCTGGGTATTGAATGTATAGATGTTTTTATGTTATAGGGTAAACAAATTCAGATTTTAAAAAAACTATTGTAATGTTTCATACATAGACCTAGGATTGCTCACTAGCTTCTAGGGCTTAAGTACTCAAAAAAAAAAAAAAAATTAGTTATGTCAGGATTTAAGAAAAGGGAAGCACTCTTTACCAAAAGTGTGTTTCTTTGGGGGAAAGTTTATCGACTTTGCCAGGCATCTTTTCCTGCGCCCCCAATTTTAGCCTCATCCTATTATAGCGTGTGGCTCACTACCTCATTCAACAAATGTGTACTGTGCTTCTAGTGTTGAAAACGATAGACCCCCAAGTCCCTCTGTCCATGGAGCTTACCCCGAAAGGGGGCAATAACACATTTCAAAATAAATCTCTATTAATTATGTTTGGATAGGTGCTGGGAGAGCAGGAGAATGGCGAGCTTGTCTTTCTTCAGCTGCAGTGAATCGGGCGATATAAGCCTCATTTCTCCATGACTTTTGAAAGGTCATCCTCCTACTTAGAAAACAAAAACCTAAAAAATAAATAATAAACCGAACAAAGTTAATACTAAAGAGTAGCTATGGCTTTGGAAAACTTGTACCGGGAACGATCTCTTCTTCCACGTCTTCCAAGAGAAGTCTCTGAAAAGGCACGGAGAGAAAGTCACTAAAAAACAAAACAAACAAACAAAAAAACCAACAACCCCCCCCAAAACCCAAAACCAACCCCAAAAGTCAGGGAAAGACACGCTGAAAAGGGAACCCCAGAGTCAGCCAGCTCAACCGCCACGCCACGCCGGTGTCCTGGGCAGCGGGGATCCGAACCCGCCAAGCGTCGCCATGAACTTCAGGGCGGATGTCCCTGGCCACGCCCGCGGCCCGGTGGCGGGAGCCCCGGGGTCGGGTGGGGGAGAGGGAAGAGGTCAAGGTGTGGATTAGCGGAGAGTGGCGATCGGGGGCGGGGAGCGGCGACAGGGGCAGCCGCCGCCACCACCGGGGGCTGGGGTAGGGGGTGGGGGACACGCGGGCGGGCGGCCCCGGTGCGAGCCGCTCGCGCGCCCGCCGGCTCAGGTGGCGCTTTCCCGCTCAGGTGAGCTCCTCCCGCGCCTCCCATTGGCCGAGGCGCCCGTGGCGCCGGCCAGGGGCGACGCAGCCCCGGTCGAGTTCAGGGTCTAGGGCGGCGCGTCACTTCCGGTAGCGCGGAGCTTGTAAAACACCCTGGAGAGAAAATGGCGGCGGCGGCGGCGGCGGCTTCAGCAGCAGCAGCGGCAGCAGCGGCGGCAGCAGCGGCGCCTCAGTCGCCGCCGCAGCCGCAGCCGCAGCCTCAGCCGCAGCACCAGCACCCGCAGCAGCCGCTCTCCGACGAAGAGCTTTTCCATCAGCTCCGCCGCTACGGCTTGTCTCCGGGCCCGGTGACCGAGAGCACCCGGCCGGTCTATCTCAAGAAGCTCAAGAAGCTTCGCGAGGAGGAGCAGCCGCCGCCGCCGCAGCCACAGCAGCAGCCACCGCAGCAGCCGCCGCGGCTGCTGCTGCAACCGCAGCACCGGGCGGGGGGCCGCGGCCACAAGACGCGGAACAGTAACAACAATAACACGGCCGCCGCCGCCGCCACGATCGCGGGCTCGGCGGCGGGGATGGGACTCCGGCCGGGCTCCGGCGACCTCCCGTACTTGCGGACCCCGGCGGGCCTCGGGCGCCTGTCGGCCTCGGGGCCGGAGAGTCCCGGGCCTGCGGCGGCCGTCCCCAAAGTGCTGCTGGGCTTCAGCTCGGACGAGTCGGACGTGGAGGCCAGTCCCCGGGAGCAGGCCGGCGGCGGCGGCGGCGG